CAGACACAATGTCAGGAAATTGCTCATTGAGCATATGGCTATCATTAGAAAACAATATTTACATCCTAGGGAGGTAAACGCTATCACCAACGATGCTCTAGCTCTTGATGAAATAAGTCTCTTAGCCCAACTTTTGGCTGCTCTCCTGCTAGGTTGAAGTAGAGAAGGATTAAGAGTTAGACTCCCTGAGAGGCAGGCAGATAGGAAGAGAGGTTATGACTAGACAGTAAAGATGGCAAGCTTCCAAGATAGCTAGCTTGTCCCTCCTCAGCCAAAGTACTGTAGCTTGAAATGAGCTAAATGGACTTTTCTGCTTCCAGTAGGACCCAACACCACTCCCTCCCACACACCATTAATGGACCAGCCAGAGGAGTTCAAGGTCAAAGTGGGATATGTGTACAACACTGTTGTAAGCCAGTCAGTCATTCTGTCTTTTAGGGAAGGCAGATTCTTCAGATTTTGAAAATCTTAGCCTTGCCAGAGACAGGATTTTAGGTTCCTTAGTCCTCCCTCTGCTTTGTGGAAGGCATTTCTGTCTGTGTGCCCAGCTGTGTGTGTGTCTCCTTATCTCTAAGAAAAGCAATTCTTTAGTGACTGACTCTGTGTGGCATGTTTGAGATTCTTCTGCTGCTATCTGTTAAGACCAATTCTTTAACTGGCAGAGAAAATGAACCACATCCAGATGTCTTGATGATAATAGGACACAATGTACCCTATGCTCAACTCCAGGCCTCATTCCAGGAGCAAATAACAAGCAATTTCCCAGAGTTAAAGGAGACTGTAGCCAGCTGCAGATTCTGGCCAGTAATAAATTGTTTGGGCTTGAGGTTGCTGAGGCTTTTCCCATCTACTCTTTCCTTCTCCTTATTAGACAGCATAGGGCAGGCAATGTTCTTTTGGGAGCCCTTACTGCATGAGGCCCAACTAGAAGAAAGACTCTCAGCATCCCTGTTTCTAGCTAGAGCTGAGGCCTGGAATGGCTTGTGTAGCTGTGTCCTCCTCAGACACCTGCTTTAAAGGAGATGGGATTGTTCATATTTGATTCCCAGGCCTTGCAGAGGTCTGAGGGTAGGCCTTGTGAGTGGAAAAACACCATTTGTAAAAGTCTGGTAGTTCCTGATCACCTCACCTAACTGTCCTGTCGATTAAGCACCTCTGTTTGCTTTGTTTGGTTTTTCTTTGGGAAAGCGGTTGCACCCTTGCTGACTCCTTATAGCAGTTCAACTCCACCCCAACACACAGTGAAGACACAGCTCCAGGAGACAGGCACCCCATACCCAACTAGCCATTGTCCTTCCCCATAGATATGCCTTGCTTCCCCAGTAACATGACATAAGAGTGTTTCTGGGTTTGAATCAAACAGAAGTGACTCTCAATGGGAAGTGGTTCTCAATGGGAATATTTTACACTTCAGGAACACCTTATGATTTTGGGATACATTTTTGGTTATTAGATTGTGAGGAGAGGGTATCAAACCTTGCTCTTATGTCATCAGCAGCAACCACTGATAGACACTGTCACATTTGCACCCGAGGTATTGTTTTCAGAGTACTTGACTCAGGAAAATACAGAATTCTTGGGCTTAGTTCAGAAGATAATTTCAGGACAAGCTAGTATGAAGCAGAGGTGAACTTTACTGAAATAGGTTTTATCATAGTTTTCAAGCACAGGGGTTATTTAATATGGGTTTCAAGCATAGAGTTTAAAAGAGAGAGGGCTTTTACAGACCAAAGTATGACACACACCCCAGAGCAGGGATGTGGGATTGCCAAGGAAGGAGAACATTTTCTCCTTTCCTTCCTTTTAGAGCAGTGGCTCCCTCTGTAATCCTAACAGTCCTGGAACACATTTTGTAGACCTGCCTCTCCTTGAACTCACACAGAGCAACCTGCTTCTGCATCCTGAGTGCTGGGATTAAAGGCATGTTCCAAAGAGTTTTTTTTTTTCTCTGCAAGATTTTAATGCTCAGCTTTCATGAACAAGTTTCTATCCAATTTTATGATTTAGGGTGAAATGTACTAGTGTTTAAAATGGGCATATTCAACTATCCTTCATACATTTTTCCAATCCTTTAAAATTAATCACTGGGAGTTTTTACCTAAGTAGAAACTGCTGTATTTACATCTGAATTGCATGTTTTAGGAGTAAAGGAAATACATGATATTTTGGTTAACTCAGTGTATTCATAAAGTGAAAAGTTCTATTACAATACATTTCACTGGAAAAAATAAATAGAACAGACAATTGATCTACTCAAAGTACACATTCTCTTTGGTAGACTTCAGTGTACGAGTTTATCACAAGCATGTTTGCCCTTATTTCCCCAAACTGATCAGCTTCCAAGCTGATGGTTAAATCATTTTTAACTGAGATTTTATTCTGTTGGTAGCTTGCTCATTCCAAATCATCTACAGTCAATCTCTGAGCACTTACAATTCTCTAATGCTTGGAAGTTTGGTCAGACGCTTCTGGAAAACTGGTGGTGGAAGTCTGCTGCAACACTTGCAGCAGCCGCTGAATCTGTGCACACACAGCAATTGCACTTTTCTGGTGGCTACACCCTTCTCATATCCACCTTGTGCTAGCAACTCTTCACCAAGCCATATATCTTCAAGGAAGAATTTTTGTATAGCTTCAGCATCTTTTACTTCAGGAAACTTGGAAAGCCCAGGTTTTTCCTTAGCAAACTCCTGTTTCTTTCGTCATTCTCAAAGCCTGTTCTTGAAGTTGGGGTCACTCTGCCTTTAATGTAAAAGTAGATGTATTATCCAATGAAGAGGTCACTGCACATGCCCGCTTAGATGGCACCTTTCCAGCTCACCTTCTTTGCTCAGCGGAGGTGTGTTTCAGGCCTTGAAGGCCAGCCAAGCAGCAGTTTACTCCAACAGATCAGAACATGTCCCTAAACATCTTTTTAATGTTATGTTTAACTGATTTTTAAGAACAGAACTTAAGAGAAAGAAAGATACTAAGGGAAAAAAATAAGCATAAAAGTAATGGTGTGGGCTTTTCAGGAGAAAGTCAGTTATGGCTCAGTATTGTTAGCCATATAATCCATTTTAGTGGCTCTCAAGTTATACCAAAAAGCATTGCTAAGAAACTATCCTTCCTAGTCTTTCCATGTTTTACTTTTTAGAGAGAGGGTCTGATGGCTAACCTTGACCTTCTCTGGAATCAACCAAAACCCAAGCATAGGACACAATTATGATGGACTATTTTTATTTTTTGATCATATCAAGAAAATATTTCTTATCTCGAAGTGGTGGTACAAGCCTTTAATACCAGCACTGGGAGGCAGAGGTAGGTCGATCTCTGTGAGTTCAAGGCAGAGCCTGCTCCACAGAGTGAGTTGCAGGACAGTGTCCAAGCCACAGAGAAACCCTGTCTCGAAAAACCAACAACAGCA